AAGTGGATATATAGAGAGAAAGAGGAGAGGTAGACATAGAAATTCTGTTAAATCTCAGTGTTAACAATTTCGTCGAAGATTCCGAGATTTTCGTAATATCGCATCCTATCTAATATCGATCGTAGATTAGCATCTGGTCGGTGCGCAAAGGGAGATTAGCCAGATCGATCACACGTGCTGAACCAATTCCTCTGGTCAGCTGCTCATCAATACCGGTAATGGTACCGTCCCCAACGACCCTAACCCTCTCTCTCTCTCTCTCTCTCTCTCTCTCTCTCTCTCTCTCTCTCTCTCTCTCTCTCTCTCTCTCTCTATCTCTTTCTGTCTCTCTCTCTGTCTCTCTCTCTCTGTCTCTCTCTATACGTTTCTCCGTATTGTATATATGTATACGCCTCTGTACTCCTCTAATAGGCATATAATCGTTATGCATATATAGCATCCTCTCCTCCACGTAGTTAGTAGTACACACGCTAATAGTCTATTTCCTAATATCTATATACCTACACGCTTCAAGTATACAAGTATATATATATATATGTGTGTGTTTATGTGTGTATTATGTATTTAGACATACATATATACATAGCCATATATATATATATATATATATATATATATATATAGAGAGAGAGAGAGAGAGAGAGAGAGAGTATAATAGTAGTAGTTGTATTAGAATTAGTAACTATATATATATATATATATAAACATGGGAGTATACGAGACGCGACATACGACAGGATTACATATGCAGACCTGTCTGTATCAGGTCGATGTCACGTGAACCAACCTAGACACAAATGTCCCGTGAATTTCACTTAAGCTTTCGGAATCATTACTCGATTAACGAATCGACTTATTCTTGATTGAAAGTCAAATGGAAATGTTCGAATTTGTCGAAAAATAAAAACGAAAAAAGGAAACAGACAGATAGACAGAGAAAGAGAGAAGGAAAGAAAGGAAGAAAGAAAGAAAGAAAGAATGATAGAAAGAAATGGAAAATCCTTCCAGTGCTCGACACGAGTCACGTTATCTACGAGCTCGCGTCCCATTGAAAAATGTAAGCTCTCGAGAAGGCAACCGTGTCGTAGCGCAACAACGGGCCGTTACATCTGTCGCTCGCATAATGCGCGATATCGCGCGTATATCAGTTGTTGCATAATGCATAGGGAGGAATGAAGGAAAGAACGACGAGGAAGAGGTGGAGAAAGAGGAGGAAGAAGAGAACAACAACGCGCGTGTTGCGGATCGGACTGATATTGCGGTCGGATATAGTGTCACGGAAAATGGAAAAAGCACCGTGTTCTCTCATCTCTTTTTCTCTTATCTTCTCTCTCTCTCTCTCTCTCTCTCTCTCTCTCTCTCTCTCTCTTTCTCAAATAGTTGTTCTACTATACCGTTATGCTTATTTTCATTTTACCAACGTCTGTCATTCTTCTCTTCATTGAAATCCTTACTATCAATGAGTTAGAAAGAAAAATTCGTGAATTGAGTGAGTCGATTGCACTTAAATGCACTTGCATACCTATATATATAAGGTGGACCGGAAAATAATGTCGTTTCTATGTATGTCGATAAAAATAAAAACTTGTTAAAAATTTATTCGTTTGAATTTAATTTAAGAAAGCGACATTACTTTCCGGTCCACCTAATATATATATATATATATATATATATATATATATATATATATATATCTTTTTCTCTTTTTACTCTTTTTTATGTTTAGTTTAAAGGTTAGTTTAAGATAGTTTATAAAATTGTTTAAAGTATAGTATAAAGGATAGTTTATAGAGTAGTTTATTATTATGTTGTAAGAGCATAATGTTCTATTTTCGAGATATCGAAATGCACGTATATAAGTGCGTGCATTATAACCATAAGTTATTTGCGAAATATTTCTTAAAATATTTCGATGACTTTAAGATATAAAAATGTTTATTTGAAATTAGAGAATATTTCATTATTACTTCGTCAGTAGATATCTATATTTCTAATAGTTTATATTTCTTTTACGTAATATATTTATACCGTTTGAAATTATTTTCATAAATGTGGAAATTGTATCGTTACGATGAAATACGGACATAGAGAAAACAGATATCTTATACGATACGATTATCTATTAGTAAAATGTCGTAAACGTATGAAATATCTAAAGTGGAGAAATAGAAAAGAAAAAGTAAAAAAAAAAAGAGAGAAGAATTTACTTAGTAATAACATTGTATAGAATTCAATTGGCCATTGAAATATGCGGGGACTTTGGAAAATACGATTGAAGAAATTCCTCTATGTTTTGATTAGATTCCACTTGAAATTCTTGATATATACATTTTATATATTTATATATATATATATATATATATATATATATATATATGATCTATGTATGTATATAGAAGAAATATAGTTAGGATGGCCGGAGAATTTCGGCACGGCATGCAAATCATTCCCGTGGACCGTCGCGTATAAATATTCGACAATTTGCATTTTCCTTCGATGTGGCGGCCAAGTGCCGTTGCTACAGGCCATTTCCAAGATGGATGCCGCCACTTTGCGAGATATACGCCGAAAGTTTTAGTACCCACTAAATTTCAACTAGCTACGACTAGCCAGACCTACATATATATATATAAATATGTATATATATATATATATATATATATATATATATATATATATATTCTTATGTTAGACACAAAAAAATAAGAGGAACACGACACTTGTTGCGTCACGTACAAAGAAAAAGCTTTTCTGTTTTCGTAAAATTTCTATGTTTTTTTTTCCGAAGAATCTTTTTCAAGATCTCGAAAATTCATGGATAATATTCTTGTTAAAATTCTACAAACGATTCAAGAACGACCGAATTTTCCAAAGATAATCATCGTTATCAAAAATATCTTCAGAAATAATAAAAAAAATGCTTTTATCAATATGGTCAGTGTGATAAAATTAGCTATGATTACAATGACGAAATGTAATCAAAATGAAATCATGTTTTGCTTAGATCATCAATAATCTAGAGCAGACAATTGTATAGGTATTTACTTCAAATTAACTTATAATTATTATTAAAAAATAAGATAATATGAGCTTGATTATTAATTATTTTAATTTGTAAGATGAACAATTTAAAACAATTATCAAAAATGTCTTATCATTGATTGAAATTTTAATAAAAAAAAAAAAAAAAAAAAAAAAGAAAGAAAATAAAAAAGAATAAACTGAAAATCTTGAAGATTGGCCTGAATTAATTGAAGTTAATACACACACACACATACACACACACACATATATATATGCAAAAACATAAATATGGGGATTAAAATAAAATAAAATTTATTAAAGAAAATAAAATATATTTAGGTCTATTGATGGGGGAAAAAAAAAAACAAAAAAAGAAGAATAAAAGAGAACATACTGACAAAAGTTCCCAGTATCGTTCTATCATTGTTTAATTATTAAATAAGCAACAATGGGAAGGTATAACGACTCGATTAAACTGGACAGTCAGTGATTGCCAGTATAATTTGGGGAACAAATCGCGTCTCACTAATCCTATCCCAGTGCAATCACTTGTATCGATCATCTCGAATTACCGATTTCGACGTGTGTTTCATCGAAATACTCGCGCGGTCGCATTATCATGGCTTTCTCTCGGATACGCATGCACCCATACATATAAACATAACACGCGTAAACAGAGATATATAGACAGTCTCTCTTTCGCTCTCTCTCTCTCTCTCTCTCTCTCTCTCTCTTTTGCTCTTTCTCTTTGTGTGTTCGAATCAAATCGATGCTCCCTGCGCGACGCGAAATGGACAAAATTATAGTTATATCTCCGAACTTCGTTAAAACGGTTTGCCTCCACTCGAATCTCCTCCTCCCATTTCCTACCACCTTCCCCCACTTCCAAATCCCTCTAGCTCAAGAGACCTCGTAAATACTGTTTTTCCGTTCATTAGAAATTCTATATGATTATCAGAACTCAATAGGACATCGGTAAACGATTTAGCATTTATTTTTTCTCCCTAAAGCAACTCGCTGCCATCTATACGAAATCATTTCATTCAAATATCACATAAATATAAATATATATATATATATATATATATATAATGAATGAAATGATCTAATATTTATATATATTTTTTATCCATTATTTATTCACATTTTATATAACATTTTTTTGTTGATCTTACGATTAAATTGAGATGATTTCATAGAAATGAGTATGCCGATAAAAAAGTGTTAAAAATATTCATTGATAATTGAGATATATTAAATATTGTATTATCTTTTAGTCGACAATTTGTAATAACGTTTCATTAAGAAATCTCAGTTATTTCTTCCATATCTTTAAGATTGAAATATTATTTTTAAATACAACAACTTCATCATGTCACTTAAATTCATTATTTTCGATTGTAGTTGTGATATTTCCATTGTTATTCGTTCCTTGCTAATCTTTGTTCGTTTCGTTCGGCGTTGTTTAATTTTTTAAATGTGAAGTTTCGTAAACAGGTAATTGAAACATAGCCATGTTTGGTGTCACATCTAAGGACGATCATGGTATATTTTGTTTTTTAATTTTGTTTGAATAAAGATCAACTTATGCAATAATTGATTGTACTTACTTTCTTCTTTGCTAAGTAACTTTAATGAGTGTTTAGACATTGTCTCCTTGAATAATGATAAATCGAAATTATTTGCTTTAATATCAGCATCTGATTAACAATCATTATTATAATCAGAATTGTCGTTTTTCGTTAGACTAATTGTACAGTTGTTTTAATCACCTATAATGATTAGCATTCGATCGTTGTTTATTAATGATTTTACTAATCGCTTCGAATTTTGCTTTTACCTTTTGTTTAATCCTTTACATTTCAAAATGTTTTTCAGCTCAATGATGGTAAATATTCACGAGTTGATTTTGTCCTTCGCTCCGAATCACTTTGCAAGCTCTATGCTTGATCTAACGTCATTCGTTTTCCCAACGCCCGATCTTATATGATTGATAGCAGGTTATCGATAAAATATCAGGTGTTTGATTTTATCGAAATTCCAGAAATCACGTTGACTCTTGTTAACACTAGAATGATAGAATATCGCGAAGCTTTACGTATTCGGTAATGTAATCATATTATAATGTAATCATATTTATAATGATAATGTCGAAAACAGGTAAATATATTGTTAATGATACAATATTACATATAACTTGACAAATATTTTAATAGAAAATAAATAATTTATGAATTACTCTTTTTAAAATGTGGTAAATTATAAATTGATCCTTTAAGATGAAGTAACAAAAAAAAAACTATAAGAGTAGATTTCGTTTGGCTACGTTCCTGCATGCATTATTTATACATTATTTATCCTATATTTATATATATATATATATTATATATATATATATATGTATGTATGTATGTATGTATGTATGTATGTGTATATATTCGTTCATTTTCTCTTGAACAAAATGAATTCATATTTAGTAATACACATCTTTGATACTATGCGCATCTATTTGTGAACATGAAAATGATTACCTATTATTATTTTTCCTAAGAACCAGAATAATATAATATAACGACAAATACGATATTGTCGTTGAAATGGGAAAAAAGTTAACTGAAAGAAAATGGACCAGAAAGAGATAGAAAGAGCAAGTGAGAGAGAGTGAGAGAGAGAGAGAGAGAGAGAGATAGTAAGAGATCGCGATGAGATACGTGTCGAACGCGCGAACGCTTCGATTACTTCGCAATGGCGCAATCAACGCCAAGTGATCTTTATTTTCGTTGTTTTGGTCCCGGCCACGATAAATTCGAGCGACTACAGGTACTACAATTCCGCGCAAACGAGACAATGCCAGCATGGAGCTTCGTTACAACGGGGTGTGATTGTCGTCCCATCAAAGTGGACAGTTTACAGATGGATTGGAACGCTGCTGGACACCCCTCGTACACCTCTCTCTCTCTCTCTCTCTCTATCTATCTATCTATCTATCTATCTATCTCTACCTCTCTATCTCTATCTATCTATCTAAACCTCACCCTATTGTTACACAGGGACGCATTCATCGTCTCGAGATTTTCCTTGTGAACACATTCAATCGAAAAGAAAAAGTTGCATATCATTTGAACAACGTCAAATCGTATACACTTATGTTAGTACATACATACGTATTTGTCGCGTATCTAATATCTATTTTGTAAAATACAATTAACACGAAATGTAATATATTCGTTTACTGACATAATCGATGAAACTTGAATTCTTTCTCGTCTCTGTTAACATTTAATGTGCTTTAATACGCAAATATAATACTACGTCAAATTTCGTACGATGTAACATCATTCATTAGAGAGATAGAGGAAGAGACAGACAGACAGAGAGAGAGAGAGAGAGAGAGAGAGAGAGAGAGAGAGAGTGAGAAGGAGAGAGAAGGAGACAAACTATAATACCTAAAAACAATATGAAAATGAATGAGTATTCTCTCTCTCTCTCTCTCTCTCTCTCTCTCTCTCTCTCTCTCTCTCTCTCTCTTCACCCTCTCTTTCTCGTATCTGGATGGATCGTAATACGAGTTTCCCCTCTTCTGTGGTGTTTACATACTTATTACGCACTGCCGTTGCAGAAGCATTACAGATCATGTAAAACACGTGCGTCCCTGTTGCTAGCAATAGGCAAGTTTACTCGTTGACTCGTGGCGAGGGTGTTGTAACGGCTTTCTCACTTGCTCTCTCTCTCTCTCTCTCTTTTACTCATAGCTAGTAGCTCGCGTTATTACTCAGGTGTAATTGCGTTCTAGCCCCTGTTGCTCATGTATAACCCGAAAAAAGGTGTATGTATGTATATTTATATATGTGTGTGTATGTGTGTGTGAGAATGAGAAAGAGAGAAAGAGAGAGAAAGAGAGAGAGAGAGTAATACGTGTAGAGAGAAGTGCGGTCAAAGTTTCGTCGTCGTCGTCGTCGTCGTCGATGGCCGTTCGCCGGTGCAATTCTGCAACGGGCAGGCATTTGCCAGTTTCCCTTCCTGCATCCACCCTCGATTCAATTCAATGCCACTCAATCAGTCAATGTAACGCGCATGCAGAGCCGCATACCGCCGTCCCGCGCGTTTCCCAATGAAATGCTCGTGCACCCACGCGCTATTCCGGCCGGTACTTTGGCGTTAAGTGTCCATCCCGTACAACCCCACTCCTCTCTATGTCCCTCTTTATCTCTGTCTCTGTCTCTCTCTCTCTCTCTCTCTCTCTCTCTCTCTCTCTCTCTCTCTCTCTCTCTGTCTATCTATCTATGTATCTATCTATCTAACTCTCTATATCTCTTTCTCTCTCGACAGTACATCATGTAACTGAAGAGAGCTGCGTTACTCTCGACACGTTGTCCATCAAGATATAAACGGAAAATGGAACTCGTCCGTTGATTTTACATGCGTCCATCGCGAGCCTTTTTACCATCACAAACTTCAAGCTTTGACGACAATACAATTTTGTAATGCAATTTGTATGCTTTGTGCCTGGTCAATTTTTCTTTTTTTCCTTTTCTTTTATTTTTTTTTTTTTGTTCTTCGTTCCTATCTATGAATAGATATCTTATATTTAAATTTTTTATATACATCTTATTTCTTGGCTATCGTCTCTCTCTCTCTCTCTCTCTCTCTCTCTCTCTCTCTTTCTCTCTTTCTTTCTTTCTAGTAATAGTAGACTTGTAATAGTAACAATATAATTTCGTACATAAATACATTGATAATATATGTTAGTTTATCGATGGATAATCTCGGTGTTTCATGATTGTGAAGAAGGATTAATTAATTAAAAGGATTAACTAATTAGAAATACTGCCACGAAAATATTTATTTAGTATTTTTTTCGCAAGTGAAAACGTAAACGTGCCGTTTTATTTTTATCACACGACGTTTTATTTTTATCGTACAATGACAAAACATCTACGATGCAATAAACAGGAAAGGCAAAATGTTGAAAATAAGAAAGAGAAAAAAAATCTTTATCGCAGAATGGTCTTGTTTTTACCGCAATTTCTTATCACCTGATAAACCATTAGGAGGAATCTGAATAACAGAAAAATAAAAATTAAAATATATATATGTGCGCGCGCCCGTTTGTATGTATGTGTACTTTGATAATTTTTTCTTTTTTTTATTTTACATGATCGATTTAAAAAGTAACGATCTAGAAATAACATCTGCTTCGTCACATTTCTCTTTTATTCCTTCATATATTCACTTACTTCGTTTTATTATTTTCTGAAAAGTAATGTAAAAAGTTACGAATACGTATATATATATATATATATATATATATATATATATATCGCATGTAAGGGATAAATTTTTCATTTGCAATTTTCCAAAGTGTTATCCAAAGTAGTAACACAAAATACGATGTGCTTCGTGGTAAGTCAGGCCATTTAAAAATTCTCAACTAAAATGCTACGTTAAAGCCATCAAAAACGTTTCGTTAAAACCATCGAGTTGTAACCATTAATTATTCAACAGTCTGTGGTACACGTAGTTGCATAAGAAAAAAGAAAAAAAAAAAAAGGAGAAAAAAAAGAAAAAAGAAAGGAGAAAAACAAAAAAGTAAAAGAAACACAGACGAAAAACAAGAGAAAGGAATTTAATTCACGTAGATTATTAAAAAATATTCAATTTCATGCGATCAAATTATAAAAGAATCAAGATAATAGAAATTATACGTCATGGATACGAATGATAGTGTTTCATTCGTCGTTATTACATTAAACACATTCATTTCTAATTCTTCGCAGCTTTCTCATCCGCAAATTTTAACGAGTTCCAACGTTATCTTCTTTTCCTTATTCCGATTATCTTCCAAGCTGATGCGCCTAGTGACACACAGCAAATAAGAAGAAGAAAAAGAAGAAGAAGAAGTATGTACGATCTTGTAACATTAATAGCAAAAAGGGGAACATAGAGGGTCTCCGTTGTCGTCCGGCATCCATTACCAGTCCTTTGTTTTCCTCTAGGTCGTATCTAACAACGTAGAAACGAATCCGGGGATCACGATCCGTGGCGGATTCATAATCCCCGCGAATGACTTAACTAAACGCACCCGCAGACCAGTAACGGGCCGTATCGAATCGCCGAGACCCCTCTTCTCATCGTCTTCTTCTTACCCTCTCAACCTCTCAACTTCTCAACTTCTCTCTCTCTCTCTCTCTCTCTCCCTTTCTCTCCCCCTCCCTTTCTCTCTCTCTCTCTCTATATATATATATCTTTCTCTCTCTTTTTGTCTATTACTAAACTTATTCGGTCATCTATATTCCTCTTCGTGATTCTCCGTAGTTTCGTAGTGAGTTTCACCGTTGTATGTGTTCATATATACACCATAAAGCACTCCAAGCATCCCTTGGTGACCATCGATGCCCATAACGTCGAAGAGAAACGTAGCTTTTGAGAGGAAAACGAGCTATACGCAAACCCCCACCATCACCACCATCACCCCGTCCTCCCACACTCATCCACCGAAAATCATCCCCTTTGGTACACTGCACGGAGAAACGGAGAAGCGAAAGTTTACATACGAATGCCTGATTTCGTGCGAGAATTTGCGACTAACTGAGAGAGAGAGAGAGAGAGAGAGAGAGAGAGAGAGAGAGACGAAGAGAGTAAGAAGAGGACTGAAAGTGACGTGCTATCGTGCCACTTGCCATGCTAATTACTTCTGTCAATTAGGTAAATCGAGGAGTGGTTCCTAACGATGCCAGGAGATCTCATACCACTAGATTCGTCCTAATACCGTGTACACAAAGGCGTAGGACGTTGTTCCCCAACTATATCAGAATATTCGAAACAGTTGGATATCGTCATTTAAACAGAGAGTAGAGCAGCTGTCAGTAATGATACTTTGCATTTCATAGTTTCGTATCGTATCTGTTACTATTGTTGTGTCGCGAATATAATAAAAATACTATGTACCAAAAATAAATCTACAATGCATTATGAA